CCGAGGGGTCCTGGATTGCGAGAGTGCGCAGGCCAGGCCGAGGGACCCCACCAGTGCACAATTGGGGCCAGGTAGATATGTGGGAGGTTGGCCAGCTGGGGAGGGACCGTGGAGGGCTCCAGGGCGTGTCCGGCCATCTCGCTCAGTCCCAATCAGCCAGACCCCAGCAGCAAGCTAACCTACTTGTTGGAGTGTCTGCCCCCCTGGTGGCCAGTGCACGTCATAGTGAGTGGTTGAGTGGCCTTAGCATATCATTAGCTTATTATGCTTTGATTGGTTGAACGGACGACCAGACACTTAGCATTTTAGGCTTTTATTATATAGGATATACATTGGAATACCAGATATCACAGAGCAGAATTTGGATTGTGAGCCTGTCTTAGGAATTATCAAAAGATATTTAACTAATATTATAGTAGAAAAATTTTGCTTTAAAACAATATTTTATAGGTTATCCATAGTGCAGGGGGCCCTGAAGGCATTAAGGAGATATTCCATTTTTTGTTTTTAAATAAGTATAAGCTTAAATTTCTAGTACTTAAATTTCTCTGATGAGGAATATTTCCATTTTTGTCATTCCTGTTATTATTTTATATGTCTGGGTTTTCAGATTATACTTTTAAGTGTTTTAATTTCACTGGTCAAAGTAAAGTTAGGCTATCCTGCCCTTAGGTATTGATCTGTTTTTCCCTAATTTAAAGTAGGAAAGCACCAACATCAATGCAGTATTTTTTAGATTGAAGTATGTAAACCAAGATTAAAAGAAAAGAGATCTGGGTAGAATTTGGTACTTTTCTCACTACTTACGAACATTGCTAATCACAACTTAATCCATCTTATCCTTTCAGTTTAATTTTTTTAAAATATTTTTTATTGATTTCAGAGAGGAAGGGAGAGAAACATCAGTGATGAGAGAGAATCATTGATCTGCTGCCTCCTGCACCCCCCACACTGGGGATTGAGCCTGCATCCAGGCATTTGCCGTAACCAGGAATCAAACTATGACCTCCTGGTTCATAGGTTGATGCTCAACCACTGAGCCACACCAGCCGGGCTCAGTTTGATTTTAATGTTTCTTTCTAACTTATTTTAGACTCTTTCCTTGGATTCGGGCCTCCTTGGGTCTGACATGTGGCTCTGGGGTTGGGACAACTTAATAACAAACACTTAAGAAGTTTTTCTCTCTGCTGCTAAGTAGAGTGTGTGAACCCTCTGAAGTGGGCCCTCTTGCTCTATTAGTAGGTTTCTTTATTTGAAGACTTTTTTTTTATTAATCTTCCTAGCTTCTCTGGTCATTTTACACAAGAGAGAGACTTCTCAGGGAGGAAGCTGAACATATCATCCCTTTTCTTTCCTGTTCCCTGAATTTAACTTTCTTCTTTCAGCATAAATTAAGGCTAGGAAGGGAGGGCAGACATATCACACAACTGTGTTTCCATACAGAGAATACAAAAGCCTAACACTGGTCTTTTGCTAGGTACCTACTTCCTCCCTACTGTTTTTCTTGAGGACCAGTGGCCTTTGGCTAAATGAAATCCCACATCCCACTCAAGCCTATGAGAACGGAATAGGCTTTCCCCACCCCTCCGTAGCTGATTCTCACTCCTCTTTTCTATATCCCAAAGTTTTTCTTATCCCACATTTGATCAGAATAAAGGATTATAACAGCTTCATCCCCTGGTCCAGACTTGTTCCTACTTTTTTTTTTTAATACGTATTTTTATTGATTTCAGAGAGGAAGGGAGGGGGAGAGAGAGATAGAAACATCAATGATGAGAGAGAATCATTTATCAGCTGTCTCCTGCTTTCCAGCCACTGGGGATCGAGCCCACAACCCTGGGCATGTGCCCTTGACCAGAATCGAACCTGGGACCTTTCAGTCCGCAGGCTAATACTCTGTCCACTGAGCCAAACCAGCCAAGGCTTGTTCCTACTTTTTTAGCAAGCCCCCTTTCTGGACTGTCCCTCACAATATAAAACATAACCCCAGTCAAGTGCAGTGCAACAGTGGAAGAGGATTTTAGGATGTAAGTACAATTGTAACCAGGAAAAATAGATATATTTTTGTCATTGGTTAATAAAGTAAGGCTTAAAATATTAATCCCTTAAGCGTTCTATGATATATATATATATATTTTTAAATCCAAAGACCCTTGTGCTTGGATTTATGAGTTTTTTCCTGTCTGTCATGCTTTCTTTATCATACAATCACTCTCTTAGTTCTATCCTTCTTTTGATCCTAAAGAAAAAAAATTCTTGAGTGGACCTCACGTCCATCCATCCCTTTGGTCTTTGCCCTCTTGCAGCTTCCTTTCTTGCTGAATCAGGGTAGACTTTGTATTTCTGCTTTTGTCCTTAAGTGCATTTTATCATCTGTTTCTCCATCTTTCCCACACTAGAAGACTTGGATTTTCTTCTTGGTCATAGATTTCTCTAATCTCTCCCCTCTAGTCTTGCTTCTAGCTCTTCTAGTCCCTCTATTCTTTTCTAATAAATCCTCTTTAGTTTCCCATCATTGTTTCTTTCATGGTCTTCCCACTCAGAAAATGTTGAGACTGGCTGCATTTCATTCCTTCCCAACAATACAGTCTGTGTTATGCATGTACTTTTTTTTTTTTTTCAGCATTATGATCTTGTCCTAGGAGCTCTGTGATCTATCACTACATTTAAAATGCTCAAGGTTGAGTGTCCACCTATGAATCAGGAGGTCACTGTTCCATTCCTGGTCGGGGCATAAGCCTGAGTTGTGGGCTCGATCCCCACTGTAGGCTGTGTAGGAGGCAGCCAATCAATGATTCTTTCTTATCATTGATGTTTCTATCTCTCCCTCCCTCTCTGAAATCAATAAAAAAAAATTTTAATAAAATAAAATGCTCAAGGTCCTCTATATACATTTTAATACATGATCCCTAAGAAAGGGATACATTTTTAAGATGCTATCTTATCTGCCTTGTATCTTAGTGCAATGGGTAGCCCATAGTCCATGTGTAATATTTTAAAATAAAGTGATGAATTGATTTATTTTCTAAATTGAATACATTTGACATATAACATTGGGTAAATTTAAGTTATACATGTACTTTGATACATGTATATATTATAACTAGAGGCCTGGTGCATGAAATTTGTGCATGGGTAGGGTCCCTAGGCCTGGCTGGCAATCAGGGCCGATAGAGGCCTTCTGGCTGCTGACCAGGGCCTTCCTTCCAGCTGCCTGCTGGGGCCTTCCTTCATTTGGCACCACCCCTGGTGGTCAGCACATGTCATAGTGAGCGATCGGTCGCCCGATCGAACCCCCACAGGGGCAATTTGCATATTAGACTTTTATATATATAGATATGATTGTCCTAGTGATGTTTACCATATTACATAATTATAGTAAATATTATCTATATTCATATTACATAAAGTACAATGTTGTCTATATTCATTACACTGTGCTCTAGATCTCTATGGCTTATCTATTGCTTATTGCAAATTTGTGCCCTTACACACCATTAGTCTTACCTCTCTACCTCCTGAGATAAATAGATTTTGAGTTGTACTCCCAAGGTCTACATATCAAAAAAATTAAGACGGTTGTTAGACCTTTTTTGTTGTCTAGTTTCTAGTTTTATTTACTTGAAAGACAGATATTCTTTGTTGTCATAGTTACCTCTTGCCTCTAATTTGAAAATTTTTGAGTAAGTATAGATAAATTTTTAGTCTTAACATCAGTGGAAACTAAATATTATCTTTTTAATAACAAATCTTTATTGTTAAAATAGAGAGAGTAAGCCCAACTGTTTGAGGCTGGAATTTATGCAGTGATTGATTGTAAGTTTTGAAAGTATTTCATTACTTTGGATGCAAGTCCCTAGATTATAGTTATTCCAGTGGATACACAGCAGATTGCTCTCTGGCAGCTGTCACTTGCTGATGCTTTATTTACCAGGTGGGCAGGCTGCTGCAGTTTAAATATAGTTCTTCTAACAAGTTCCTGATGCCTTATTAAAATGAACTTGTTTCTAAGAAAATTAAAAGCTTAATTAGCTGAAAGTTTGCATATTTTCAATAAAAAGATGATTTTTTTACAAATGAACAAGTCTAATGGTAACACTAGAAGTAAGTCCGTACATCCCCTTAGTGTCATTGTTTACTTCATTTTATAGAAGAAACAAGTTCAGGGAGGTCACCCAGTCAGGGTGAGAAGCAGCCTCCTATCACTGCCCACATTCTTGGCTTTCTACCAATGCTTCCCAAACTTGTCACTTCCTAGAGAGCCTGTTCTATGATCTGCCAGTGTCTCTTAACCTTCTGGCTGCCCCTAAATCCTCCAATTTGAAAGATGTTACCTACTAACCTACATTTGTTAGATAAACTTACTGTATTTTGGACAATCAAAAACAAAAGAACTTAAAGTTAGACTTTCTGATCAATATGAGCTAACTAACCAGGAGCCACACTGAATTGATAGAATTTTGGCAAAAAAAAGCCTCCCCCCCTTTTTTTTTTAGAAATAGATACATTGCATAAAACTTAATTTAGGAAATAATGGTTTATAGATCGACATTAATACTGACCTAATACTTCTTAGAGCCTTAAAGATCTGAGGACCCCTGGGAGCAGTGAGAACCCCAGGTTCTGAACCATAGCTCTTAAACCTGCTACCTTGCAGTTTAAAATCTAATTGTTATTTGGCTGCCTAAAAAGAAAATGCCTGGCCCGGCCAGTGTGGCGCAGTGGTTGAACATTGACGTATGAACCAGAAGGTCACAGTTCAATTCCCAGTCAGGGCACATGCCCAGGTTATGGGCTTGATCCCCAGTAAGGGGGCATGCAGGAGGCAGGCGTTCAATGATTCTCTCTCATTATTGATGTTTCTATGTCTTTCTCCTTCTCCTTTCTTCTCTGAAATCAATAAAAAATATATTTTTTTTAAAAAGGAAAGAAAGAAAATGCCTGTTTCAGAGTGAACATGTTGAATTAATGCTTTTATTTCTTTTGCTTTTTGCACATAGATTGAATATGAAAGGAAAAAGAAAGAAGATGGAAAACGAGCTCGAGCTGATAAACAGTATGTTTTAGACATGCTATTTTCGGCTTTTGAGAAACATCAGTATTATAATCTTAAGGACTTGGTGGACATCACAAAACAGCCTGTGGTATGTATATGCTCACATTGATCCTTTTAATGTGTCCTGCTTCATTAACAGTGAACCACTTAAGAGAGGTGTATCATATGTAAGTTCACATGCACCGTGCTAATGGCAGAAAGGGTGTCTTAATGCAGCTTTCTTTTGTTTATAACATCAGCTTCATTATTTTGAATTTCAAGTATATTTAATATTAATAGTTGCATAAGAAATAAAGGTGAATTTATTCTCCTTTTGACTGATCCTGAACATTAAGCCTGAAGTCGTTTTTTATGTCATTTCTAGTCTGTCTTTTGTTCTCCTAGCTTCCTCCAAAAAAGCTCAACTCCTTTTTTTAATTGGAAAATGTGTCTTAGAAGAATCATATTCTTTTAAGAGTCATACTGGTCTGTCACAATGAGAGAGTTTATTCTGCCTGTGGGCTATTCTGTAATGGATTTTTTAAATCAGAATCTACCTAACATTAGCATTAGGTCCTTTTAAACTGGCAGTACTGCCTCATGATTCTTGTTGGGACTGTAGTTAGGTTTGCCTATTCTCCATTTTGAAGGAAATAAATTGATGTTTTTGAAATCTTGTTTGTTCTTTAGATGATCGTTTTTTACCAATTCTCCAGACTTTTGTGCATATTTGCTAGTAATTTGTATTTCTAATCCATTTAGAATGCTGGAAATAAGTAAAGGGATCCAAATCCTTTCTCCAGCCTTTGGCATTTCCTTCTGTTTCTCTTTCTTACACTTAATGTTAGCATAGCATCAAATTGAATTATAACAGTATTTACTTACAAGTTTTAAAAGTTAAATGCAAAACCTTTTATTTTCTGTCCTTTTATCTAATTTCTTTGATCAGTTGTCCACTTTGCTAGTATACTCAAGGATTTGTTAATTCTAACTGTTCTGTTTATTTGCTTCAGAATATGCAGCAAGATAACCAGTTTTTTAAAACTTTTTAACATAACCAAATCATTCCTTATTAAAGGGCTTGGTACTTTTTTCCCCTATTTATTCAAAGCTATAGGAAATGATTTATGAAACTTCAATATTCATTGTACAGTTTCTCACTTCTGCAGCGATTTCTCTACTGTTATACTTCAATCTTTTACTTTTTCATTAAGAAATTAATTTAAATTCCAAAATATCTAAATTTTTTTAATAGACAGGAGGAAAGTGCTCATACTATAGTATTATCAACTCATCTTAATGACTTCATTCCCTTCAGCATCAAAGCCTCAGAAACGGCATTCCAAGCTAGAAAAAAAAAAATTTGAAATAGAATAATTCATTAGCTAAGCTGTGTTTCTTCCGGTTTTAATGAAGTCTATCTTTGTGTTTTATGTAAATATGAAAAAGTCAATCCTAATCTCTGAATACAAACAATATATATATTCTCATTGAATAATAATACTATATATGGAAATAGACATTTTTAGAGGGACATTCAGAAGGTACTAGCAAAAGAGTTCTTTGCCTTAACATGCAATGGCACTTTTTTTTTAATGGTGATACAACAGATCTATTATTATGTCATACATGTCATACATACATATGTACACATACGTACACGTACATACAGCGTGCCTTTATAGGCAATTTGGTATAGCCTATTGCATCTAGGCTACAAGAATGTACAGCATGTTACTCTACAAAACAAGAGATTAAATTAAGCACAAGAGGAAATGATACGATCAAGAGATGCAGTAAATACGAGATGTGTGAGGCTGTTGCCGGCGAAACAAAGCATACTGTTTTATAGCAAACTTTTTTTAATGCTTTTTTTTTTATAGCTACTACTAGTTCTACTATAACTACTTCAACTACTACTACACAACAAATACGGCTACTTGGGCCCACCTAGTTCCTCAGGGAACTAGTGTTTTCAGAGATGACAGGCTGAAGGGACAGCTAACCCAGGGATGACTGATTGAGCTCAGCTTACCAATGGGTGTTCTTGATTGAGCTGAATTGACCCAAACTTATATTTAATGTCTTAACTGGGACAAAACTATCTGAATTTAGATTATTAATTTCTTTTCTTTTAATTTAAATTCTTTATTGTTTAAAGTATTACATAAGTCTACTTTTTCCCCCATTGACCTCTCCCTAGCTGCCCCCACCCCCAACAGTGGCACATTTTTTTTTTTAAATATATTTTATTGATATTTTTACAGAGAGGAAGGGAGAGGGAGAGGGATAGCAAGTTAGAAACATCGATTCAGCTGCCTCCTGCACGCCCCCCACTGGGATGTGCCCGCAACCCAGGCACATGCCCCTGACTGGAATCGAACCCGGGACCCTTGAGTCCGCAGGTATACATTTTTAAAGTGTATTCATCTGCATCAAAGATAAGGGATAACTAGTGATTCTCTCAATTTTGGTTCTTCAGATAATTTTTATGTGGTGGTACTCAATGAATCTCTTATAATGGAGCTTTCTTTAATTCATGGGCTTTAAGAGGATCCAGTAAGCTCTTGAATATGTACAAAAAGGTATGGATTTTTCTGGGGAATAGATCCATAGTTTATATTAGGTTCTCATAGAGGGCCTAGGACCCTCAAAGAGCTTGTGAACCACTGATCTAGAAACTAAATTATTTTATAATTGTTTTTTAAAATATTTTTTATTGATTTCAGAGAGGAAGGAAGAGGGAGAGAGATAGATACATCAATGATGAGAGAGAATCATTGATTGGCTGCTTCCTGCATGCCCCACACTGGGGTTGGAGCCCCCAATCTGGCATATGCCCTGACTGGGAATCAAACTGTGACCTTCCGGTTCATAGGTCAACATTCAACCACTGAGCCACGCTGCCTGGGCATAATAGTTTTATTATTTAGAGACTGAATTGCCTCAGCAAGCATAAGGTTCTTGAATACGGAATTGGATATTCATATCCCTAAATATTTATATACTCTGCAACACAGTAGAAATTCAGTAAATATTAGATGAATTAATTTGGAAAAAGGGAAATGGTTATATCCTCAGTATCCAGAGCCACCATATTTTCCTCAGATGGATTTTTCAAGCCTGATCTCATTTTTATCAAGAATGGAGGACAAAAAGCCAGTTTTAGGAAAGTGCAGACTGTCAGGGCTACAATTACACTTACTTAGAGGAGAAAGCAGGAATTGGTTCCAGCCCTGCCATTTCCCTCAGTGGGTTCTAGGGAAGTCACTTCCAGTTCTAAAATTGAGGCAGTAGATTCTCTTTGTGATCCTTTCCAGCTCTAAATCTGATTCTCTCCCTCTCCTGTTTCATCTCCTTCTCTCCACCTCCCTCTCACATTTGAGCTGAGTTGGCAAAGCCCATTGATTGGCCTAGAAAAAAGTGGCCAAAGCCCAACTCATCTTCATATAGGTAACTGTTCCTGTAAAAGGTACACATTACATTAAGTGAGTCTGTTATAATGGTCATCTGAACACTCTACTAATTTGATTTTAGCCTGAGCAGCAACGAGAATGAAGGAACCCAGTGTAGCATAAAGCTCCAGGAAAGGGTTTCCTGATGTGATGGAAAGAGCACTGCATTTGGAATTATGGAATCTGAGTTTAAGTCCCAGCCCTACCGTTTAGCCAATTAGTCCTGGACAAGATACTAAAATATGTTTAATGTATAATATATTATCTGTTTAACAGTAAATTATTTAACATATGACATACTTAATATAAAATGTACCTATTATTTATATTAAATGTTTATGATATAAAATTAAAACGTGTTTAAATTAATACCTTTTATAGTATCCTTATAAATATTTGTTTATGAAAGATGCATTAACTGCCAAGTATTTTGCAAATAATTATTTTTAATATTATTAAACACTTTTTTAGTACCTGCGTTTAATGACATTCTCTCGTTTTCACATGGTTTCCAATACAACTTTTGATAAGTTTCTAACCATGAAGTGTATCACTTCAACACATCCGCATTAATACTACTACTATATTCTTAAGTTACCATCTGCTTTCTGGCTTTTGAATGTCTTTTTTTATGTATTCTGAGTGAATTATAAGTATTTTCTTGATTTTTCCAGTTCCTTCCTTTCCATATTGTTCTTCCTAAAACACCTTTACTTCTGTAAGCAAAATTATTAATTAGAGGAGATGTCCTCAGGGCCAGTCTTTCTTTCTCATTCACCAGTGTATGACCTGCATAAACAATCAAGGAGTTAAAGGGCAAATAAGCAGATTTAAAAAGCCAACCTCCGGTAACTGATATAAAGTCAGAAACACTGTCAGTAACCATTTAAAGGGTTGTTTTTATAGTTTAAATGTTGGCTCCCCAAACTGAACTATCAGAGGAATTCTATTATTTGTCCCCTGGCAAATTTTTGATCTGTCGCTTTGAATGTGTTATGTCTAGTCTTTTTTTTTTTTCCTTCTTTTTTTTTATTCTTTATTGTGTCTGATCTTTCTTTATATTTTATTATATCTTTAAAATAGAAGCATATATAAAGTAGGATATCCTTAAAAAATACAAATCATTAGAAACTTTATCTAATTGCTCCCTTTGAAACATTAAACTGCCAAGATCACTTTGAGCACTAACACTCTTTTCTAGTACAGAACCCATTTACCAGGGTTCCTTTAAATACATTTCTATTAAAAAGTGTCATCCAAAATCAGCTCTCATGATAACTGAACCATTTAATTTCTTTGTGCTACATCCATTGAATTTCAGGTCAAGAATTAGGGAAATTTATCTTTAATTATTAATAAGCCCTTGTAAATCAACATCCCCAATCCTGTCAATCCAGTGAATAATTTTTGTTTAATTAAGAATTTTATTGAATTGTTTGCGTGCTTTTATTAAGGTAAATTCAAATCAACAAGAAAAACTAGGTAAAATTTTGATTTTGAGGCAGCTTGATTCCCATACTTCAAGTTCCCCAGCACTGAACAATGCTCAACAGGCTGTTGCTTATTTACACAAAGTAGGCTTTTCATAAAGTAGTGCAGCAATAAGGTAATGTTAACCTAATCCTCTCAGGCCAGAGTAAAGTTAAATAGAAGT